GAATGACAGGCGTGAACCATCACACCTGTCTCCTTTTTTTTTTTTTTTTAAGAGATGAGGTTTCACTAAATTGGTATTTCCTCCTTTTTAAAAGCTGAATAGTATTCTATTGTGTACACATACCACATTTTCTTTATCCATTCATCCACTGATGGACACTTAGGTTGACTCCCATGGTGACTACTGTGAGTAGTATTGTGATAAACATGTACTCCAATTAAACAATGGATAGACACCACACACACAGGTGTCATAAAAACAAAAGAAACAATTTTCCTTATATATTAGAAACAGCTTAATTCTATTTTTTAAAGCACCTGATTTACAAAATTTTTACTGTGTATTAAATTGCACCATAAAGATAATACAATCTAGCCGGGCTCAGTGTCTCAGCCTGTAATCTTGCGCTTTGGGAGGCTGAGGTGAGTGGATTGCCTGAGTCCGAGGGTTCGAGACCTGCCTGGGCAACTGGGCAAGACCTCATCTCTACAATAAATCAAAATAATTAGCCAGGCATGGTAGTGCGCGCCTGTAGTTCCAGCTACTTGGAAGGCTGAGGCGGAAGGATCACTGGAGCTCAGCAGGTTGAGACTGCGGTGGCCGGGAGCGGTCACTGCACTCCAGTCTGGGCGACAGAGTGAGACTCCAACTCAAAAAAAAAAAAAGTATAATACGATCTTTGCTTTCTTGAGTTTCTCCTAAGTCTACTCTGATCTGTTCCTCTCTTTAGGTTACACCTATTACACAACTTTGTTAAGCTTATTATCTGTTGGGAGTCAGCCATGGAGGCCCACTGAGCGTTAGGGATCAGGAAGGGCCGTTGACCCCGAGACCACTAGGATGCATTCGGGAGCTATTTGACCCCATTTCCTTCCCCTTTCTACTCAGTACTAACCTGATTAAGCTCCTATAAGCTCAAACATAAAAACTCTGAGACCGAGACGAACACAAGCTCACTTTAGAAGCTCATTGCTCCCATTCTTCCACAAACTGCAGTTTTGGCTTTCACACAACTTGCCATTCAAACTTGGGTCACATCTAAGAGCCTTAGTATTGGTCACAGGCTTCTGGGTTGTGATCTCAGGATTCACTGAAGTTGAATAAGGTGTAAATTGTGTAGAATATAGTTTTAGAAGACAGCCATTCTATTGAAAGAATGCGACTGGATTACTTGCAGGTAGCCCACTGTGAACTTTGGACTGGGCCACATTCCAAACATTCTGGGATGGGCCACTTTTGCTTGTAAAGTAAACACTTAAGCTTCTATAGAATTGTTTAACTTGGCATAAATCAATCAGATTAGGATGAAAAAGGTTTATAGAATATGTCAGTCACGGATTAGGTTATCCTTTGTTATGGGATTTTAAGATTATCATATGAAAAGGGTTTAAAGGCAATCATTGATTAAGTTTTCATGGATTAAGGTTTCTGGTGATTGGGGGACGCCCCTCCCACATCTGACTTTGTGTATAAAAGACCCATTGTAATTCCCAATAACACACATCGCTTCTTCACTAGACTGGAGTCCAGTCTCTTTCTTTCTCTCTCTTTCTTCCTCCCAATCGCCGATGCCGTCTCCACCTTTGGGGTACCCTGAACCCGGCTGGAGCTGGTCTCCGGCAATTATCCACCCACAATTGTGGTGGAAAAGATCCCTAATTCCAGTCTCCTCATCCTCCTAAAGATAGTGCAGAATTAGCTTATTCATTTTGTTTCCAATTTAAGACCAAAGGGTAGAGGTTCTTGGTTTTTTTGTTTTTTGTTTTGAGTTGGAGTCTCACTCTGTCGCCCAGACTGGAGTGCAGTAGCCGCTCCCGGCCACCGCAGCCTCAACCTGCTGGGCCCCGGTGATCCTTCCGCCTTAGCCTTCTGAGTTGCCAGAATTACAGGCGCACGCTACCACACCCGGCTAATTTTTTGATTTTATTGTAGAGATGAGGTCTCACCTGCCCAGGTGGGTCTCGAACCTGTGGGCTCGGGCAATCCACTCACTTCAGCTTCCCAAAGGCGCAGGATTACAGGCTGAGCCACCGAGCCTGGCATAATCTTTATCTCTTAATTACACAGCTGCAAGAGTGTAAGGATAAGAAAAAGAATTGGGAGAATGCTGACCTCAGTCTTGCTCAAGTAAACACCAGATAGGAGTGTTGGAAAGTGAGCTTTACGAACACATTCCAGTAAATGAGTTAATAGTGTGTAAATGTCATTCATTCATGTCTCCTATTCCCTGCAGTATTCTCAGAACTGAACACAGGTCTGGCACATGGTACTCTCTCTCATATATATAAATATATATATATATACATATATATGCACACTATATATAGAACAATGTAATATCTTTACTTTTATAGATACATAAAATGTAATTATAGATAATATATTAGTGAATGGCCCTAGTAATATAATTCTTTGTTATTTATTTATTTTTTTTGAGTCAGAGTCTCACTCTGTCTCCCAAGCTGGAGTACAGTGGCACACTCATGGTCACCGCAGCCTTCACTCACTCAGCTCAGACAGTCTTCCACCTCAGCCTTCCAAGTAGCCTGAGCCACTGGGCCCGGCGAATTCTTCTTTAAAAAGAACTTGGTAAGCCAGCTCGGTGGCTCAGCCTGTAATCCTGCGCCTTTGGGCGGCTGAGGGGAGTGGATTACCTGAGTCGTGGGTTCGAGACCCGCCTGGGCAACTTGGTGACACCTCATCTCTACAATAAATCAAAAAATTAGCCGGGCGTGGTAGCGCACGCCTGTAGTTCCAGCTGCTAGAAAGGCTGAGGCAGAAGGATCGCTGGTGCCCAGCAGGTCGAGGCTGTGATGGCCAGGAGCAGCCACTACATTCTAGTCTGGGCGACAGAGTAAGACTCCAACTCAAAAAAAAAAAAAAAAAAAAACTTCGTAACATGAATAGACACTTCTCAAAATAAGTCTTACAAGCAGCCAACAGACACATGAAAAAATGCTCAGTCTCACTAACCATCAGAAAAATGCAAATCAAAACCACATTGAAATACCACCTAACCACAGCAAGAATGGCCATCAATAATAAAACAAACAACAACAGATGCTGGCAAGGATGAGGAGAAAGAGGAATGCTTCTACATCGTTGGGAATGCAAACTAGTTCAACCTCTTTGGAAAACAGTGTGGGCTGGGTGTGGTGGCTCAGCCTGTAATCCCAGCACTTTGGGAGGCCGAGACAAGAGGACTGCCTAAGTCTGGGGATTTGAGACCAGTCTGAGCAACTTGGCAACACCTCATCTCTACAACAAATCAAAATATTAGCTAGGCGTGCTGGCATGTGCCTGTTATTCCAGCTGCTTGGAAGGCTGAGGTGGAAGGATTGCTTTAGCACAGCAGGTCAAGGCTGTGGTGGCCATAAGCAGCGTGCCACTGCACTCCAGCCTGCGGAACAGAGTGAGACTCCAACTCAAAAAAAAAAAAGAAAAAAGAAAACAGTGTGGCGATTTCTAAAAGTATTAGAAATTGATATTCCTGGAGGAACTCAAATCACTCTACAAAAAAGATACCTGCAGGTGCATGTTTATTGTTGCACTATTCACGATAGCAAAAACATGGAACCAACCATGATGCCCATCGAAACTGAACTGGATTTAAAAAGTGTGGTACATATACACGATGGACTATTACACAGCCATTAAGAAGAACATTATGGCCTTTACAGAAACTTTGATGGATTTAGAGTCTATCATACTCAGTCATTTATCACAGAAAGAAAGAACTGAGTACCACATGTTCTCAGTCATAAGCGGATTCTGAACATTTATCATAATACTACAAGAAAGGGACTGGCAGTATGGGAAACTGTCAGGGTGGGAGGAAGGGGCCACATAATATCAATAAGGGTACCTGATCTCAGACCAGGCAAAGTGGGGACCAAAGGGAGACTTAAACTTTTTTTTCTTTTTTCTTTTGAGTTGGAGTCTCACTCTGTTGCCCAGGCTGGAGCGCAGTGGCCGCTCCCAACCACCACAGTCTGGACTTGCTGGGCTCAGGCGATCCTTCCGCTTCAGCCTTCCAAGCAGCTGGAACCACAGGCACGCACCACCACACCCGGTTATTTTTTTGGTTTATTGTAGAGACAAGGTCTCGCCAATTTGCCCAGACTGATCTTGAACCCCTGGGCTCAGGCAATCCTCACGCCTCTGCCCCCCAAAGTGCTGGGATTACAGGACTCTGCCATTGCGCCCGGCCGGGAGACCCAAACTTTTCCCTGTACGACGACCGCTTGTATACCTAAATCTGAGTTGTACCCCACATCTTTTTTATTTTTATTTTTATTTTTTGAGTTGGAATCTCACTCTGTCGCCCAGACTGGAGTGCAGTGGCCGCTCCTGGCCGCCGCAGCCTCGACCTGCTGGGCTCCGGCGATCCTTCTGCCTCAGCCTCCCAAGTAGCTGGAATTACAGGTGTGCGCTACTACGCATGGCTAATTTTTGATTTATTGTAGAGATGAGGTCTTGCCAAGTTGCTCAGGTGGGTCTCGAACCCGTGGGCTCAGGCAATCCACTTGCCTCGGCCTCCCAAAGTGCTGGGATTACAGGCTGAGCCACCGAGCCCGGCTGTACCGCACATCTTTAAAATAAAAAAGTTAAATAAAAAAAAAAGAACTTGGTAAACCACAGGCTCGGTATATTTTTTAAAATCTTTAAAAATTTTAGCATACTTTTTTCCTAGAGTTAAGGTTATAGCCCAAGAACGGACAAAAGAGCCGATGTGCTCAGTTAAAGTATTTTCAAAAGTTCAACAAATCAAGCGCAAGTCGCTAGTTTTACCTAATACACGAACCGAAGCCCAGGACAGAGGAAAAAAAGAAGAGCCCCAGCGGCCTCCGGGTCTCCAAGGCGACGGATGAAAGCGCCGTGGGAGACGCGGGAGTCTGACGTCACGGGGGCACGCTCCTGCGCATGCTCGCCGCGTTCCGGCCGAGGGCCAGCCGGGTGCGCACGGCGCGGGTGGGCGGGTCTTACTGTCTGCGGCGTCCGAATCGACGGTCAATGGCGTTGGTGGCGGGAAAGTTGAGTCCCTCGTGCGCCGAGCTTTCGGAGCGATGTGTAGTGACTTCCACAGGGCTGAGTCTGGGACCGAGGTGAGAACCGCCGGGGTGGGAGCGAGGGGAGCCGAGAGAACCCGGAAGGCTGGGGCCGCCCGGGGCGACGCGGCCTGGCCGGGCTCGGGGGTGGGCGGGGAAGGGACACTTGGTCTAGACCCGCGATGATGGCGTCCTCGGCCGATGCTCACCTGAGTGGGTGGGGTCGGGCCCCTTGGGAGCCAGGAGTCCGAGGTGGGAGGTCCGGGCGGAGGTGGAGGCGGTCGTTCCTGGTGGATACGAGAGTTTACTACGTGCCCAGATTGATGTAAAATACGACGTCGCTACTCGCAAGGATTACGGTCTAAAACCTGTCACAAATTAACTGCAGTTGGTAAACTGTGCAAGAGATGCTAGAAAAGGGAGGGGTCAGCCGGACGCGGTGGCTCACGCCTGTAATCCCAGCACTTTGAGAGGCAGAGGCGAGAGAGTTGCCTGAGCCCAGGGGTTCGAGACCAGCCTGGGCAACTTGGCGAGACGTTCTCTCTACAATAAACCAAAAAATTAACCGGGCCTGTTGCGCAGTCCTGTGGTTCCAGCTACTTGGAAGGTGAGACTGAAGGATCGCCTGAGCCCAGGGGGTCCGAAGCTGCGGTGGCCGCGAGCTATGTGTCACTGCACTCCAACCTGGGCAACAGAGTGCGACTCCGACTCAAAAAAAAAAAAAAAAAAAAAAAAAAAAAAA